GGCTGTTTTCAGAGGCGACATTGGGGTGCCTTGTTACAGCAGCAAGAGAAAACTAGTCTTCACACAGATGCCGTTTCACAGCACAGGAAACAAGTCTTTCTTATCATTTATTTGAAAAATTCTTACAAAAATTAGAAAAATAAATATTTTCTCGGATCTGAGTTTGAGAATTCACACACACAAGTACATAAATAATGGGTGGCTGGCAATAACTTAAGGACAGTGGCACATGCACAGATAAAATCTCCTGATGGGGCAGGTTGTGGGTGGGCCTCGGGGTCAGACACACAGGTCTCCACTGGCGACACACTTCAGGTCATGGGTGAGGAGGCGGAAGAGGTTGAATGTGACAGAGGCTTCAAGACAGCCAGTGGACTCCTGTGGGGAAGACAGGACACGTCAGTGACTACCCATGATCTGGGTCCCAGTTGTCCCCAGACACTGGTCACTCCCTGGTCACTCACCTTCTTTGAAGCCTCCCGGACGCGGTGCAGCCAGTGGTGGAGGTGGCCCCGGGGCCTGGGGCCTGCTGAGGCCTGAGTTGGGACCTGTGGGCAGAGGAGGGTGCTGTGTGAGGCAGAGTCTACACAAGAAGGGAACCTACAGAGGTTCGGGGGGAGTCAGAGCCCACAGACATGGCCCACAAGCCCACAAGCCCAGGAGCCCAGAGCACTCACACAGGCCTGAAGCTTGGTGTGGATGTAGCGAAGCGTGTGAAGGGGCTGGTCCAGGATGTCCCCCAGGGTAGAGTTAGCCACAGTCTCCAGGACCTTCAGTGTCAGGGCCAGCTCAGCCTCCAAGGCCACGGGGCGCTCCCACACCTGAGGAGGGGAGAGACAGGTGAGAGCTGCACACATGAGGGAGAAACAGGTGAGGAGGACTGAGGAAGGAACAGTAAAGGTATAAGGTCAGGACAGGTGAGAGGACACAGCCAGTGTGGGTCTGTGAGGAGAATGGGTTAGTGGGACTGGGTGGGAGGGAACAGATGGTGACAGGTGAGAAGAAGAGGTGAAGGGGCCACGAAGGAGCCAGAGGAGCGGGGCCAGGTGAGGGCAGGTCCGGGCCTGACTCTCCCAACACACCTGCAGCTTCCTCAGGTCCCGGGTCCTGGGGAATGGGCGGGAGCTGCAGCTCCAGTTCTTCAGCAGCAGTGACTCCTCCTGGAGAGCAAGGAAGGGGTCAGCACACAGCTGGGGAGGGTACAGGTCTACCCTGAGCCAAATGGAGCATAGTAGGCCACAGAGGGAGGGTGGAGGTTGGCCCACAGCAGGTGGGGCAGTGGGGAGACTCACCAAGGCATCCTTGGCCCTCCTGAAGGCCTTCATGTCTTGTGGGGGCAGAGACTTGAACTGGGCCATGGAGCAGCTCCTTGCACCCGGGAGGGCACTGAGGGGGGGTGGGCACAGGAACTGCTCCCATCCTGGTCAGCTCCATGGTCATCAGCATCAGCACCAGCATGCAACCCACAGGCAAGTCTGTGTTACAGAAGGAGAGACACATGAGGGCACAGACAGTGTCAGGGGGCTGAGGGTGGAGGCTGTGGGGGAGGTGGGGGGTCATGGGCCATGAGGTGGGGGCCTCACCCAGCTGCATCCTCATCTCTGTCTCTGGTCTCTGTCAGCACAGGGGGGACCCAAGCGTCCCACTGAGAGGCTGTCACCAGGGTCTCTCACTCAGCCTTGTTTTGTGTCTGTGACCTCAGTCTCCTCTTCTGGCTCTCAGTCTGCTGCTCTGTGTGTGTCTCTGAACTTCCAGCTCTGCTCTGGTGGAACACCTGCCTGGGCTCCATGGTACAGCTTTTAGCCTGGACAGATGGGCAATCCCAGCTGATGTAGGAAAAGTGAAAACACAATGGCCACTAGGGAGGCCCCAGGCTGGGGAAGCCCATGCAGGGCAGGGCCTTGAGCCAGGTGAGCAGCTGGAGGGAAAGAGAAACTGACACAGATTCAGGTTCACATAGAGGAAGTGTATTCCTAAGATGAGTCTCAGCGTAGGGGCAGCCTCAGCCCCACAAAGGGGGGGTCACAGCACCCTGACGGGGAGGGGACAAAGGGACTTGTCTTTGTGCAGGATACTGCAGTCCAGGGAGAGGAGGAGAAAGGCACCTCTAAGGGTGTTGCCATCAAGACCCTTGAACTTCCAAGAGAGAGGTTACTCAGAGGAGGGGAGAAGAGAAAGGGAGAAGGCTGCTGGTAGGTGGGAGGGAGTCAAAAAGGCAAAGCAGCCCAGAGTTCAGAGAGGAGACCAACTGTTCCCTCTCTTCCACACTTGGTACCAAGAGAAAGAACTGGGAGGAAGGGAGCCTCACTAATGTTAGCTGTCCAGGCACCATGGGACACAGGAGTAGGAGCCTCTGTAGGGAATTGGGGTGTGGCCAAGGACTTCAGGGAACCAGTCCAGTTTGTGACAAACGCCTTCATTCATTCACCAAGTTATTCAGCCCCCACTTTGCATCAGGCATGGTTCCAGGTGCCTGGCATAGGGCACTGAATAAAAGAAAACCTACAAAACAACCCCTGAAGGAACTTTTTACTGGACTGGAGTGACAGAGAGTAGGGGGAGTTAAGCACAGGTGTATGTTACATCAAGGAACAGAAAATGAAAGAACTAAAGTGGGGTGACGGCAGGGTGTATGTAAGATGTGGCTGCACTGAATGAGGTGGCCTGAGAAATCACATCTGAATGAAGACTTGAGTGAGCAAGGGAGTTATGTGAGATTGAGGGGGGAGCAGTCAGTACGAAAGGAAAACAGAGGCAGCCCATTTTGTCTAGTACTTTATATGTCCCCTTATCACTAAGGCTTTGCCACTTACAGTATTAAACCCACAGTGAAATTAAGGACATACAGTATTTTTTATTACATTTTAAATGTGGAGTGATATTGGCAGAACGGGTCATGAACTTAGTGCTGTTAACTTTTTTGGAAATAAAGTCACTTGAAATAATGAATGAGTAAATATGTAGTAAACTGTAGGGACTTAGAGATGGTGAGAGTCCTGTCCAAGATCACACAGCAAATACGTGGCAAGTGCAGCTCTTAACCACATTTCATCTCACACTCCAGCTTCTGTGCAGCTAGATCTGGTCACAGAGACAAGGAATTTGCAGCACAGAGGTGCTTTTTGACACTCAAGCCCCCCCCCCTGACCCCCTGTTTCCATTATTCAAAATTCCAGGGAGAGAGTGGACAGACCCTCAGAGAAAACTGAGCTCTGATAGACAAAAATGTTTCAAAGCCAAGGACAGGGTCCTGCCCCAGTCACCTTCCAGGGCACTGGTCAGTTTCTGTCAACTGCAGCAGCGTTAACCAGGGCAAAGACACTGTATCACCAGTGAATTCTGAAAAAGGACAAAGGATGTCAAAATTCCTAAATTCATATTTTTTGTTAGAAAGAAAGTTCCATGAGGTGGTTGAAAGTATGGGATTCAAACCTGGCTGTGACCTTCACTAGTTGTGTGACCTTGGCAAAGAAACCTGCAGTTAGCAGCCATGATTGCTAGCCCAGTGACTCAGACACAGTAAAAAAAGTACAATTATTTGTGTATTTTTATGTGTGTGTGGTTATTTAATAGAGACCATTAATGAAGACCATCCTATGGCCTCAGCTGGAAGCTCTAGAAACACTACTTCAATGTACATTACTCATTTGCAAGAAGAGGGTAAGAATGACATCATCTGGATGAGGAATGTACATTACTCATTTGCATGAAAAGCATAAGAATGACATCATGTGGATGAGGAACTGACACTCAGAGAGAAGTAATTTGCCCAGTTACAAAGTAATCTGCAAAACAAGCAAGCTAAACACAACCAGAGACATTAAAATAAAGAACAAATTGACAGGCACCAGAGAAGAGGGAGCAGAAGGATAATAGGGGATAACAGGGGAAGGACCATCAAGGAACATGTATAAAGGACACATGGACAATGCCAAAGGGGGGAGGTTCAAGAGTGGGAGACAGGGATGGGTGGTGTGGAAGGCCATCGTGGAGTGAAAATGGAGACAACTGTACATGAACAACAATTTTAAAAAATAAAAATTTTTAAAAAAATTTAAAAATAATCAAGAAGCCGAGTCAGAATTGAAACTCATGTTACCTGATTTCCCTGGCTCAGCATTTTGAACTGAAAAGTGCCCCTCAGAATGATTGCAGGGGATCAACCGATGTGATTAAGAGAATATTTAATAATGGCAATACATTACCACCAGAATACAGAATAGCAAATTACATAGGGATTTCACAAATACAAAAGACACGTGGGTTAACAGAAGCCAAAATACTACACAGTCAGCTGAGGACTTTGGGCCCTTCCACTGCCAAATCCCTTAGGGGATGAGGCCTCCCCAGTGGGGAGGTCTGAGTCACAGATTCACAGAATCTCAAAGCGGACGCTGAAGGTTGAGATCAGGGCCTGGGACTTGCCACGGGAGACGGCGTTCTGGGCTTCTGTAACCAGAAAGTAGAAACTGGTCCGTGGTGCATAGGGTCAGCGATCCATGGTACCAACTCAAGACTCAAGGTTCTTGGTGCCACAGGAGGCCTCTGAAAGACCTTAAAGGAAAGTATCCCATCAAAAAGTCCTTGTTTCCTAGAGACACGTTCTGGTCCTTGGAAAAGTACCCGCCCCTCCTGGTGCACCCAGCACAAGGCATGGAGGTCAGGCAAGCATCCGCAGAGTTCCCTGAGCTTCAGCATCCCCTGAGCGAGCCTCAACGAAAAGGCAACACAGCAGAATTTGCAGCCATCCGCCTGCAGAGCCACCGATTCCCACTGAGCCGTCGCGGGGATCAGAGACTGGATCTGGAGGGCGCCACCAGGCTCAGGACCCACGTGATCAAGCGCAGGTGGTTGAACGGGATGGGACGCAGGCTTCGTGACCCCTAGGCGAGTCCTGGGACCCGGAAGGAGGCGGAGCGGGCCGTGGCGGGAATTTCCTCCCGGAAACCGCCCTCTCGCGTCAGCAATTGATCCTGTTTGGGCTCTGGGCGGAGCTCCACTTCACTCGCAACACCGGCTTCACCACTGGTTCCGCTCACCGCTCTCGGTGTTTGGGGACGCCTCCCGCCTCCCGGGTGGCCAGAGGGACTTCCTCGAGGAAACTGGCCTCCAGGAAACTGGCTGCACCAGCTGGAGCTGGAAGGGAAACTAGAGATAAACGAAGAAGGCAAAAGACGGAGTCTCCTACTGCGAACCCCCCAGCACCAGAACAAAGCGCAGATCTGGGGACGCCGAGTGGACGCGAATCGTGTCTGGACGGGTTTGGGCCTGAGAGAGACAGAACGCGAACCCCGCGTCCTAGCTGTGGGGCCGCTGAGCCCAGAACAAACTGCTAGGGAGTGGAGGGACCGACCACATCCCTCCGGGCGGCATCCTTCTGCGCGGCGGTCAGCAGCTCCGGAGTTCGGAGTTCAGATTTTGGAGGAAGACGGGAAACAACTTGGGGCTGGAAAAGCTGCTCAACACCGCCCGGGGGTACCAGAGGCCTCGGGACACCCGGCCCCTGCGCCCTCTCCTACCTCCTCCCCCACCTTCGCCAACCTGCAGACCTACGCAGGTCCGTGGGAGAATCCCTCCCTGAGCAGAAGGAGCAGTTGCGTGACCTCCAGCTCAGTCTCTTCCTCCTGGGGTGAAAAGACAAGGGAGGGGTAAGGTTGGGCCTGTTCGCCAAGGCCCCTGAAGCGCTGCGATGTCGGGGATTCCTGGACCTGGACCGGGACTGGCCGGTACAGTCCTGCGTATTGTGCCCTCAGCTCTTCCAGGGTGTGAACGCGGACTGAAGTGCACCCCTGGCAGAGCGTGGCACCCAGAGGTGACCGAGGGCGCCTAGAGGGGGCGCACTTTTGTGACTGGCATGAAGGCAGTTTCTGTGATTCCGATGCTGAGGTCAGGGAAGGTGGTCTGGTCAGAATTCTGAACCCTCGACTGCCAAAGTCTGTTGGAGGCTAGGATGCTAGGGTCTCTCGAGGCAGGGATCTCATTTAATTCTCAAAGAAGAACACTGCAAGGGGTGTCCTATTATTACTCCCACTTTATAGATGAGAAAACTGAGGAATGATAAAATGAAGAAACTTTTCCAAATTCACAATTAGTGTCAGGGAGGATTGAACCTGCATGCTGTTGAGCTTCAAAGCTTGTTCTCTGTGCTGAATTTGCTCCTAAATATCTGATTCAGTCTTCCCTCTCTCTGTCTTCATTTCAGTTCGTTTCTCTTCTTCCCTCTGTACACACCACTCGTTTTTGTGTCTTTCTTGTCTCTCTGTCTCCATCTGCGTCTCATCCCTTTTTCTAGACAATATCCAGGCCATGGTCTCCCTGTCTCTCTCTCTGTTAGTCTCAATTTGTCTCTTGTTTTCATTTTAAAGTGAAGTCTACTCTTTCTTTCTATGATAAAGTTAATGCAAGTTCATAACTAAAGTTTAAAAAATACAGAAATGCATAAAAGGAGACAAAAACCCACTTATGACTTCACCCACCTCTCCACCCCACATCTGGAACAATTTTATCAATGTGCCGAAGTTATATATATATATATATGATTTGTGACATAGTAGCACATTCATTTGAAAGATTTAGTCCATTCAAAAGCATACAAGTTGGAGAACTAAAGGAATCTTTCAGTCCCACTTCCTGGAAGTAATTCTTTTTAACAGTAACTATTACTCCTCTTCCTGCCCCTCCACTCCCCTTTTTATCAGCAATTTCTCCCCAGTGGAACCCGGCTGTGTAAAAATTAGTAGCCTGCTTTTTGTGTCTTACCGTGGCCTTTAATTTGCATCTCCCACATGTCTGACTATACTGTATCAGTTAGGGCCCCAGCAGGAAACAGATGGCCCAATCAATTTAGGGTAATTTGAGGTGGATATCATACCAGGAGTGTTTACAAAGGGGTTTGAGAGTGAAGTGGGCATAGTGCAAGGCCTTGAGTCCTTCCTGGGGGAGGGTCTGCCACCCCTAGGCCTGAAGGGAGGGGAGCAGGCAGGGAGTGCTTACCTGACCTGGCAAGGGCAGGCCTGTGCACAGGGCAGGGAAACAGACTAGCTGTGGTGGTCCTGAAGGGAGAAAGCCTGGGGAATAATTGCTCTGACCTCTCAGAGAATAAAGAGCGTCCTTCCCCTCTCCCTGGTCCTACTGCTAGGCTACCAGTTAGCTGCACCCAGTGGAGGGCAAGGGCCAGCTTCCTGTGGCCCAGAGCAGGGTGGAGATGTGGGAAGAGTGGACCTGGCAGGGCAATGACAACGTGCCACATATACCGTTACTGATGCTCCCATTCAACAGGATCTCGGAGTAACCAATGCCCTCCAGGTGAGCACTGAGGTTTCCTATGGTATTTTGCTAAAGCCGTGGGATTATCAAGGCTGGGGGAGAGGGAGGGACTAATCTTTCCATTCTCCTAACAATGTCTTTCATAGAGCTGCAGGTTTGCATTTGAATGAAGTCCAACTTATCAACTCCTTTTTTCATGGATCATGATTTTCATGTATGTAAAAGTCATCAGCACTGATTGGTATGGCCCAGCTGGTAAAGCATCACAAAGCAAAATGTCACTCGTTCAGTTCCTGGTCAAGGCATATGCCTGGATTGCAGGTTAGGTCCCCAGTCAGGGCACAGCCAATCCATGTTTCTCACTTGTATCCATGTGTCTCTCCCTCTTTCTCCCCCCTTCCGCTCTTTCTAAATATGAATAAATGAAATCTTCAAAAAAAAAGTGATTGCCAAACCCAAGGTCCCCTAAATTTTTCTCTATACTTTATTCTAGAAGTTTTGTAATTTTGCACTTTATATTTGGGTCTGTGATATATTTTGAGTTAATTTTTGTGAGATGTGTAAGGTCTATATTCAGATTTGTCTGTTTCACAGGTGAATGTCCAGTTGTTGCAATACCATTTGTTGAGAAGACTATCTTTTCTCCACTGAATTACTGCCGGGGTCCAGCCTCGGCGAGTCTAAGGGTCCCCGAAGGAGGAACAGCTCAGGTGAAACGCAACAGACACCAGATGTGATGCAGGAGGACAGCCAGGCTCTCTAGACCTGACTGACTCACTGAGAAAAATCAATCAATATTTTTATGGGGAAGGTTATACAGCAGTCAATACATAGTGTGATTATTAAAACAGAAACAGTTAGCAAGAAAGAATTTCTAAAAACACAGAAGTTTTTACAAATCAATCATGTTAAACAAAGAAATAACTGAAAAGTACAGGAAGTCCCACAGGTCAACCATATTAAACAAAGGTTATTTTGACCAAGGGGGTCATTAATCAGATAGCCAATGAAGCTATACAAGCACAAACTTTCAAATGCTGATTGTAATTAAATATCTACTAAGTTTCTATAGATTGGTCTAAATCAAAGGGGTACAAGGAGTGATTTAAAAATTAGTTATTATTTATAGAAATTAGATTATCTGAATTAGATAAATGATTTTTTTTTGCCTAGGTCTATTTACAAATCTAGAGGGGGGGCTATGATATGTTTCTATGTACTGAGATTATTATATTTTAATTAAAACTCCTTCCTCCTCTATTTACCTGGTCCCATCAATAACCACTCCTGCCCAGGACATGGGAAAGGCAGTGGTTCTAATAAATCTTGAGCTTTTGAATGGTGACTCCCTAGACATTCCCAGCAACGGCTTCCTCCAGCGTTCTGGCAGCTAGTCTGCCCATAGTTTAATTCTATCTTTAACTTTCCAGGTGGAGGAAGTGGACAGCATTAGGGTTATTAGGGGCTTCTAGTTAGTGGTCAGCAATCATTTCATGCAGAATCAGAGGCATCGTGTAAGGGTTTTTGTTATAAAGCACAGGTGTCCAAAAATCTCACCACCTGTTGCTAGCAGGGACAGACATACAGGAGGAGATAGACAGGAGATCCGACCACAGTCACTTCTGCTGTGCAGACGCGTCTCACCTGATCCAACTATGTCAAAGGTCAGCTGTTGGTCATCTCCCGACAAGTTACCTTTGCTTCTTCCTCAAAGACCAGCTGACTGTTTGTGTAGTTCTGTTCTTGGACTCTCCATTCTCTTCATTGACTTGTCTACCCTTTCTTCAACACCCCACTGTCTCGATTACTGTAGCTATAGAGTAAGTCCTGAATCAGGTAATGTCAGTCATCCACCTTTGCTATTATTCTTTTTGTAATATTGTGTTAACTATTCTGGTTTATTAGAATCACTGTAACTTTAATATATAATTTTGAGGATATAAAATACCTACAAAATGAATTGCTCAGATTGTGATTGGGTTGTGTTGAATCAATAAATTAAACTGATATCTTGATAATATTGAGTCTTCCTATCCATGTGAGTGGAATATCTGTATTTTTAAATCTTTGAATCCTTTCACAGAGTTTTGTAGCTTTTCTCACATAGAGTTTGTTTATATTTTGCTAGATTCATACCTAGGTATTTCATCTTGGAGGGGGCTAATGAAAATGTTTTTAATTTCAAATTCAGATTGTTCATTGCTGTTATACAAGAAAGCAATTGACTTTTGTACATTAAGGTTGTGTCTTGCAACTTTGCTACTGCAATCACTTATTGGCTCAGAAATGATTTTAAATGAATAATATTAAATACATAGGACTATAAAGAAAACTGATTACCTTGCAACACAGTTACCAAACATAAAAATGATATCATGATAGGTAATATACTATGTTATTACTACATTAGGTAGCAAGATATAATGACAGGTTTAATAACTACTGTACTGGAGATAGTGATGAGAGTAAATGACACTTCAGGGTATGTGCCACATCTGTAATGTGCCATGAAAACATCTATGGCTTCTTTTAGTGACAAAGTCACATGTTCTGCTAATAATATTGTGGTATGATTGCTATTATTCCTTACAGTCCTAATGGAAGGAATGCAAAATTGTGGTGACAGGTTAATGAGGATAAAAATGCATTTTCCTCTGATGCATGTTCTCTCTTTCCCAGGTCCTGATTGGGGGTGTGGTTCATGGACCCCAACTTAAAGTATATCTACAGCAGTTACCTGTGATGTAGTGGATCTATATATGTGGACATGGAAAAATCGTCAAGATATATTACAGTTAAGAAAGTAAATTGCTGAATACTTAGTGTGACATACTTGTGTTTAGAAGTAGTCACATACACAAAAGGAGTTCAGTGAAGAACAGCAGCCTTTTCAACAAATGGTACTGGAGCAATCGGACATCCACAGGACAAAAAGTGAACTTTGACTCAAGCTCACACCTAAAACAAAAATGACCTCCAAATGGATCATGGACTTAGATGTAAAATATAAAGCTATAAAACTTTTAGAAAAAGTTTAGAACATTTTTGGGATCTATGCCTAGGCAAAGAGTTCTTAGACTTGACACCAAGGGCTCAATCCATAACAGGAAAAACTGACCAACTGGCCTGACAAAAGACTGGTATCTAGAACAGATAAAGAACTCTCAAACTCAACAGTAAAAAAATTAAACAATCCACTTGGAAGACAGACAAAAGACACGAAGGCACATTTCACCAAAGTGGATGCACAGAGGGGAAACAGCCCATGCAGGGGTGCTCAATACCACTAGCTGGTAGAGGAATGCAAATTAAAACCACAGTGAGATATCATTACACACCTAGCAGGATGGCTAAAATTAAATTAAGAAAAAATAGTGATAGTAAATGCTGTTAGGATGCAGAGAAGCTACATCATCACATATTGTTGGTATGAATGCAAATGGTACAGCCACTCTGGAAAACAGTTGGGCAGTTTCTTACCAAACTAAACATGCAAATACCATATGACTTAGTAATCCCATTCCTGGACACTTGTCCCAGAGAAATGAGGACTTCTGGTCCCACAGAATCCTACACATGAGTGCTTATAGCAGCTTTATTTGCAACAGTCAAAAGCTGGAAACAATCCAGATGTTCTTTAACAGGTGATATTTAAACAAACTGCAGCATACCCATGCCATCAGCAATAAAGAGGAGCAAAGCCTTGATACACACAACTATCTGGGTAAGTCTCCAAAGAATTATACTGAGTGAAAAAAGCTCATCCCCAAAGGCAACCTACTGTATGGTTCCACTTACACAGCATTCTGGAAATGACATCAGTGATTGCCAGGGGTCAAGGAGCAGAGTTGGTGTGACTATTGAAAGGGCAACATGGGGGACCTTTGTGGTGACGGAATTTTCTGTAGCTCGACTGTATCAGTGTCAATATCCAGGCTGTGACATTGTGTTATATAGAGTTTTGCAAGGTAAAGGGGAAACGTTTGCAAGGTAAACGTTACCATCGTAGACGGGAACTGGGTAAAAGGCACACAGAATCTCTGTATCATTTCTTACAATGGCATGCAAATGTACAATTATGTCAAAATAAAAAGTTTAGTCAACACAATCACACACGAGTATTATATATTTCCTTGGGAGCTATATGAGGTATGTCAAGATGTATAAAAAGGTATGCATACATATATCCCACATTGATTAATAGTGAGGTGTCTGTGGGGAGGGCATGGGAGTTGAAGGGATGATTATTGAAACACGTCATTTTATCAAAAATATTTTCATTTCTCCCAAGGAGAAGAAATTCTACCTGAGTCATTAGAACAACAAACTCATTGAATATGAGGAAAATACTACCTCCTTGATTGCTTAACTCCTGGTAGGGTGAACAATTTTTGAGAGAGTTCTTGGAGTAGAGTGTGTTGGTCTGACCTCTAGACCTGTTGAGAGTGGCTGAGTAGGACACTGGATTTGCCCTCCACCTCTCTGCTACTGTGCAGGTGACCTCTGTTGACCCCTCCACACTGATCTGGGGCCTGTACTGGGTCCTGGGATACTGCATCTTGGAGGCTCCCCAGCCCTCTGGTTTGTGGTTGGGTTCAGCCAATGGGAGGTGCTGGCAGGGGACTGAAGGGAGGAAGAAGAGCAAGGCTGGGGGGATTTATTCTGGATCCCCTGGTTCCCTCTCTGCAGGGCTGAGGTCTGACAATGGCTGTGTTAATCAATCTACAGCCACACTGTCTGACTCACCTCATCCAGCATGGTACTTGCTCTCCATGAAGCTAGCCTCTGGGTGCATCACCAGCCCTGGTTGATTCCCTTGACCATGCCACTTTTCCCCAGGTTAGACATTTTGGCTTTCTGCAGACATCGTTTTATTTCTGATGTATTTCATTGAATTCTTTATTAAGGTAATAGTAGTTTCATATGCTTCATAAGAAATCACACAGAGAGCTCCTGTGCACTGTCTCCCCAGTTTTCCCCAGTAGTTACAGTTAACAAAATAGGGGGAGGTTAAGAACAGAATAGGAAATGGAAAAAGCCAAAGAACTTATATGCATGACCCATGGACATGAACTAAGGGAAGGAATTGCTGGAGAGAATGGGGGGTACTGGGCAGGGGGCAGTGAAAGGGGAAAAATTGGGACAATTGTTATAGCAAAATCCATAAAATATGTTTAAAAATAAAAAATGTATAGTACAATATCACAAAGGAGATGTTGAGATGCATGCAATCCACCCATCTTATTCAGATAACCCCAGCTTTCCTCGTGTTCAGTATGTGTGTGTTTAGTTTGACACAATTTTATCCCATGTGTAGATTCATATATTCACCACCACAGTCAAGACAGAGGAATTCCATCAGCCCAAGAACCCCCAGGATTGTCCTATTTACAACCACACCCATCTTTGCCCCTTCATCACCCACCTTGTCCTTAACACCTTGCAATCACTGATCTATTTCCACTGGTAAACTTTTGTCACTTCAAAAATTTACGTAAACAGGACCATGTGGCATGTACTAACCTTATGGGATGGGTCTTTTCAGTCTGTGTAATTCCCTGCATGTGTGCCCAGGTTGTCGTGTGTATCTGCTGTGCATCCTTGTTTCATGGTACAGAAGCACCAGAGTTGGTTAACTGTTGACTTTCTAAAGGTCATTTCTAGGTTTTGGCCCATTGCTAATAATGCCTCTATGAACACTGCACTCAGATGATCAGGTAGTCATAAATTTTGATTTCTCTGGAATAAATGTCCAGGGGTGTTATTAGTCGGTTGACCAGCAGTTACATGCTTAGTTTTATAAGAAACTGCCAAACTGAGTTTTAGAGTGGCTGTACCTGTTTTACATTCCTACCAGTAATGTATGAGCAATCCAGTTTCTACATCATTTCTGAGTTGTACTCACAAGAAAGTTCTCCAGAGGTGGTTGTTGTTGTTGCTAAATTCTTAAAGCATTTTCATAATCAAACAGGCATCTCTAACAGTGGGGCCACAGGAAACCTTTCTATAAGAATATTTGTCGAAGTCCAGTCAGGCTGCTATGACAAAAATACCACAGACTGGGTGGCTTGTAGATGACAGAAATTTATCTCTCAGTTCTGGAGGCCAGGAAGTCCAAGATGAAAGTGTCTGCATGGTGTGGTGAGGGCCCTGTTCCAGGAGGCAAAGTCCTCGCTGTGAGCTCACAGGGTGGAAGGTGCTAGGGAGCTCTGTGGTCTGCCTTTTAAAGGAGAACAAATCCCATTCTTGAGGGTTCTACCTCCTGAGTTTGTCACCTCCTAATGACCCTTCCTACTAATGCCATCATCTCTGTAGGTTAGGATTTCCACATATCAACTTGGAGGGACAAACATTGAGACCATAGCAGTACTGAATATCATTTTTATTGTTCATGATTCAAGCTAATAACCTGCATTTTGCTGCTCAGAGCTGAATCCCTCATTTTCAAGAATTCACATCTAGTATTTTCTTGTGTCCAATCCCAGAGCCCGGCCCTCTTCCTGCCAGTTCCCATTTTACTGCCAGTTCTTGGTCTTTGAAGACATGGGGTTTCACTTCAGGCCCACATTGTATATCAGTTTGGATACTCTGGGCACATATCCTAGGACCCAACTCAAGCTGACTTGAACAATGGAGAGTCTGTGGACTTATAAAACAAGGAATCCAGGATAAAGGTGAGGCTTCAGATAATGTTTAGTCCAGTAGGACATTGCAAACCTCTTGGTTTTGTTGTGTTTTGTTTTGATCTTTCAGAATCAAAGAGAATGGATAAGCTGTTTACCCTAATACTTCCAAGATGGGTGCTAGCAGCTCCCTGGGTTTACACTTCATTATTCTCCAGAAGGGAGAAGACATCATCTTCCCCAAGGTGCCCAGGACTGAGATTCATTCCGAATAGACTGGCTTAACTCATATGGCCACCCGAAGCCCAGTCACTGTGACTGGGGAGGGCAACTAAGTGGCTGCAGCCAGATCACATGTCCCGTCCCCAGAGTGGGAGTTCAAGTCACCTTTCCCAAAAGATTTGTGTCTCCAACTAAATGGGGGATGCTGGGAAAAGTGGAGGAGGGCTAAGGGAAGTTTGGAAAGTGTGCTGCATAGACATCTTGGAGGATCTTTTCTCATGTTTCTAATTTTTCAGGGTCCTTATGTTTTAATCATCTTGATGCTTCTTAAATTTCTGTACCTTTGAATTTATACACTGAAAAAAGAAAAGGATATTGATGCTAAGGAAGACACAGATCTTCAAAACAGTCATGACTTGCCTATAATTATATTTATTAATGAATTTAATTATTATTAATTAAAAGTGGTCTCACATAGGAATCATGAATAAACTTGCCCAAAACACACCTAAGCTATTCTGTATGTGGATAGATTAGTCTCTGCAGACAAGAGAAGGCAGAACATCACTGATCGTAAGCAGACAGCCTGGGATCAATGCCCAAAGCCACATCTCTGAGCTGTGTGAGCAGCACTCATAGCCTCTCTGTGCTTCAGTTTCCTCATATGGAAAACATCAGCCAGTGAGAGGACCTTGCCATGGTGTTGATGAGGAGAACAAAACAACAAACACAAGAGAAGGGCCTCAAGTGGGGCCTAGCATATGGGCAGTGCTCAGTCTGTATTAGCTGTAATTATTATTATCAGTGATTGAGAAAAACATGTCTGTAATTCCAATGTTCAACAGCAAACTTACAACAGTTTGTAAGTGAGCCATATAACAATCTTTCAGTCAATAAACGACAGACTGCAAACACAACGGTGGTCCTGTAAGATTATAATGGAGCTGGGAAATTATATCACCAGTGACATCATAGCTGTCATAGTGCAACACATTAGTCATGAGTTTGTGGTGATGTTGAGCAAACAAATCATCTGCGCTGCCAGTTGTGGTAAAGTACAGCATATACAATTATGTGCAGTACATAATACTTGATGATGGTAATAAACAACATTGTTACTAGTTTATGTATTTACTATACTTTTAATCATTATTTTAGAGAGCACATTTTCCACATTTAGGAAATGTTTGCTGCTGTAAGCAGTATGGGATGTTATGCCACAGCTGTCTCATACATCCTATTTACCATGTGTCTTGATAGCATCATTTTCTCTTGTGCTTGATTTTATCTCATGCTGTTTTGTTCAGTTGGCCCCAAGTGTACAAAATCCACTGTGAATGCTCCTCATAAGAGGCCATGATAGGAGACACACCTGGAAATAACATTAAAAGTGATTAAGGACTATGAAGATTAAAAATCAGTGATGGCTGTTGCTTGCCCATCAGGCGTGCCTTGTTCCATCAGAACCATGATCCTGAAGAACAAGAACCAAAAGCTGTTAAAAATCAACTTCATTGATGGCAATGAGACTAACAGAAATTTGAGAAAGGCCTATATCAGGCATGGAGAAACTGCTGATGACCAGGGTTGAAGACCAGACACAGAGGTGTATGTATCCCTCTCAGCAACATGAGGATCACACCAAAGTAAAAACTCTCTCTGCAATGCTGAAAGGAAAGACTGGACCTGACCATGAACTTGAATTTACTGCCATCTAATTTATGGTCATTTAAACTAGTCAAGAATCATTATGCATTACTTACTGTGAACATGAGTGGTGCGTCTGCAGGTGTGAAGGCAGCTGAAGCATTTTTGGAAAGTCTAGATAAGCTAATTGTGAATGAAAATTATTTACCAGAGCAAATATTCCATATGGATGAAACCTCTGCATATGGAGATGGATCCCTGAAAGGACCTTCACCCATAAGAAGGATGAGGTGATGCCAAGTTTCAAGCCTTTTAAGGACAAGAGAAGTGTTACTTGGGGGCAATATTGCAGGCTACAAACTGAAACCCTCTGTGATCTGGCACAGTGGGAACCGCAGGACTTTCAAGTATATCAATAAGCACACCCGGAGTCAAGCAAATCTACCTAATATAGAAACAAACACAGGGAGGCTGACAAAATGAGGGGACAAAGAAACATGGCCCAACTGAAAGAATAGATCAAAACTCCAGAAAAAACCTAAATGAAATGGCAATAAGCAATCTGTCAGATGCAGAGTTCAAAACAGTGGTTAGAAGGATGCTCATGGAACATAGTGGGGAACTCAACAGCATAAAAAAGACTCAGTCATAAAGGAAGGATATATTAATTGAAATAAGAACAATTTAGCCCTGTGACTGGTGTGGCTCAATGGATTGGACACTAGCCTGTGAACCAAAGGGTCACTTGTACAATTCCCAGCCAAAACACATGCCTGGGTTGCAGGGCAAGTCACCAGTGCGGGGTGTGCGAGGGCCAACCACACATTGATGTTTCTCTACCTTTTTCTCCCTCCCTTTCTCTAAAAATAAATAAATAAAATCTTTTTTTAAAAAAGAACAATTTACAGGGGAACAACAGGAGAATGGATAAAGCTGAGAATCAAATCAATGATTTGGGACATAAGGAAACAAAAAACAACCAACCAGAACAACAAGAAGAAAAAAGAACTTTAAAAAATGAGTGTATGAACACGCTCTGGAACAACTTCAAGAGGCCTAACATTCACATCATAGGGGTGCCAGAAGAAGAAGAAAAAGCAAGAGATTGGAAATTTATTTGAAAAAATAATGAAAGAAAAAGTCCCTAATATGGTGAAGGTAATAGACATGCAAGTCTAGGAAGCATAGAGAGCCCCAAATAAGATGGATGCAAAGTGGCCCACTCCAAGACACAGCATAATTAAAATGCCAAAGATTAAAGATAAAGAGAGAGTCTTAAATGCAACAAGAGAAAAGACATTAGTTACAGGGGAATTCCCATAAGACTGTCAGCTGATTTCTCAAAAGAAACTTTGCAGGCTAGAAGAGATTAGCAAGAAATATTCAAAGTCATGAAAAGAAGGGACCTACAGTCCAGATTGCTCTACCCAGCAAAGCTATAATTTAGAATCAAAGGGCAGATAGTGCTTTCCAGACAAGAAAAAACTAAAGGAGTTCATCATCATCAAACCATTATATGAAATGTTAAAGGGACTTATTTAAGAAAAAGAGGACGATCAAAACTATGAACAAGAAAATGCCAATAAATACATATCTATGAACAATTGAATCTAAAACACAAACTAAGCAAACAAGAAGAACAGAGGCAGAATCATGGGTACAGAGGGCATTTTGATGGTTGCCAGATGGGAAGGGGGTGTAGGGAAATGGGTGAGGAGGTGAGGGGATTAAGAAGTACAAAGAGGTAGTTACAGAATAGCCATAGGGATGTAGAGTACAGTATAGGAAAGGGAGCAGCCAAAGAACTTGTATGCATGACCCATGGACATGAAAAATGGTGGGGAGATTGCCTGAGGGAGTGGGGTATGTTTGATGGAGAGGAGCCAAGAAGGAAAAATCAGGACAACTATAATAATATAATCAATAAAATATAATTTTTTAAAAAAGAGGGCAAACAACCTTAGCCTGCAGGTGGGTGAGGATGATACTGGGGCGATTCCTGAGGAACTGATTAATGAGGAGCTATTGGAACTGGTCAGGAACTCATGGCTGAAGAAGAGGCAAGAAAAAAGGAGATCGTAGGAGAAGAAAAAGAAGATGAACTCCCAAAAAATTCACAGTGAAAGATTTAGCAGAAGATTTGCAGACCTCAATAAGCTCCTTAAAAAGTTTGAAAACATCATCCCCCACAACAAAAGGTTTTCGTTAATAGAGAGGAATGTTCATGATGCATTATGTACTTACAAGGAAATGTGTGATGGAGAAAAACAAGCCAAGCAAAGCCCCAGGACTATATTTATGACCAGACTGACAGCTCCTGCAGAGGAGCCTCAGGCAGGTCTTTCAGGAGGTTGTCCCAGAAGAAGATACTGTTATCACGGGCCAGGCCGGCTCCACGGGCGCCACTGTCCCTGAAGCCCTTCCAGAGGCCTGAGGCATGGAGGCGGAGGAAAGCGACATGATGATCCCGACTCCATGTAGGCCTAGGCTAATGTGTGTGCTTGTGCCTTCCCTTCTAGCAAAAAGGTTTTAAAATAAAAAAAAATTAAATAGAAAAAAGTTACAGAATAAAGATATAAAGAAATAAAGTATTTTTGTACAGCTGTACAATATTTGTCTTAAGCTAAGTTTTGTTACTAAAGAGTAGAAAAGTTAAAATTGTTAAAGTTTATAGAGTAAATGTTACAGAAAGCTAAGATTACTTTCTGATTTCAAAAGAAAAAATATTTCTAATAAGCTTAGTGTAGCCTAAGTGTGCGGTGTTTGCGATGTCTGTGGTGGTGGACGGTACTGTCCCAGGCTCCTGTTCACTCAGCACTCACTCACTGGCTCACCCTGAGCAACTTCCAGCCCCTGCCAGTTCCCTTCATGGTAAGTGTCCTTCCTATGCAGATGTTCCATTTGAAAAATCGGTTTCTATCGTGTTTTTACTGTACTTTCTATGTTTAGAAAACATAGAAACCACTGTAGCCATTGTATCACAGTTGGTACAGTATTCAATACAGTCACGTGCTACACAGGTTGTGGCCTAGGAGCCATTCACTGGCTACACCACACGGCCTGGGCGTGTGCCAGGCTGTACCATCTAGGTTTGTGTACATGCACTCACTGATGCTCGTACACGACGGATCGCCTAAGGACACATTTCTCAGATGTGTCCTCAGAACAAAGATCCAGATGAGGGAAAACCAGAGAGAAGGGTGAATATTCATGCAGAGATAGAAAGATAGGAAACAGAAAGAGACAAATGTAATGAAAGAGAGAGCACTGGAAACCACTAGTATGAACTCCCCAAGCAAACTCTTGTGTGGGCACCTCTGCCGAGTCTGTGCCTTCCAAGAGAAGGAAATGGTGCATTTTCAGTTCACTCCTAGAGAGCAAAAGAAAGACCAGCACAAGCAGAAAAGACAAACACATGTTTAGAAAATAGAAACAAGCAGTAGCTAGAGAATTGAGTCAGTGACAGGGATGACACCTGGGGACAGGCAGGTAAAGTCCTCACGCCTGGACCAGCATCCCACTGGGCCAGCAGCCAGCACTGATGATCCTAAAACTTAACCTGACCAGGGAAGCCCAGCGGCTCACCATGTCTCAGCCAACCACACTACAGCCGCCTGGAGGGAGCAGGCCCTCCTAGTGAAGGTGGACACTACTCTGGATGCCTCCCAGGGGACAGTACAAGGCAGATCCCACTCCCACATGAGGCACGGAGGGCACAGTGCAGGTGAAGAGTGAGGGGACAGAGGCTCAGGGCAGCAGGGGTCTCAGGGCCCACCACATCTCTCCTCCTGCAGGTGCTCAGCGCCAGTGATCTGAGGTTGGTCCCTCTGCCAGTCTAACCAGAGGCAGGGGCTGGACTCCTTCCTCTCGGCCTCCCTGGCGTCCTTCACTTTCTACAGGAGCACAGATGAGACCAAGTGGCGCAACCGTGGCGTCCGTGGGGCTGTGGGTCTTGGTAACGGTGAGAGTGGTGGTGGACCTGGGAGTGGCTGAACCCCGGCGCTGCCTCCTGCCACACTACCTCCGGCTGGACCACAGGGCGCTGGCGGTGGTCGAGGCCCCGAGGAACCACTACGTGAGTGATGTCCAGACCCCCATCCTAGAAGATGCTGGGCCTGCCGGTCATGGATGCGAGTCCCTGCCTGGAGAGACCCTAGCATCCTAGCTTCCAACAGACTTTGGCAGTCGAGGGTTCAGAATTCTGACCAGACCACCTTCCCTGACCTCAGCATCGGAATCACAGAAACTGCCTTCTGCCAGTCACAAAAGGGCGCCCCCTCTAGGCGCCCTCGGTCACCTCTGGGTGCCACGCTCTGCCAGGGGTGCACTTCAGTCCGCGTTCACGCCCCGGAAGAGCTGAGTGCACAATACCGGCCAGTCCCGGTCCAGTTCCAGGAATCCTGGACATCACAGCGCTTCAGGGGCCCTGGCGAACAAGCCCACCCTCACCCCTCCCTTGTCTTTTCCACCCCAGGAGGAAGAGACTGAGCTGGAGGTCACGCAACTGCTCCTTCTGCCCAGGGAGGCATTCCCCGATGGACCTGCGTAGGCCTGCTGGTTGGCTGGTGGGGGGCGGGGGGTGGGGCGAGGAGGAGGAGAAGGGCAGCGGGGCGCGGGGCCGGGCGGTCTCTCACTCTACTGGGCCCCTGCAGTGGTGCGCCCGACTCCGCCGGGTGTCCCGGGGCCTCTGGTACCCCTAGGCCATGTTGAGCCACCTGACAATCCCCAAGTTGTTTCTTGGCGTCGCCCATACCCCGGAGCTGCTGTCGGCCGCGCGGAGGGACGTGGTGTCCTGCGTGAGTGTCTCCGCTCCCGGCCCCTCCACTCCCACCAGCTTGCTCTGAGCTCTGCGGCCCCACAGCTTGGCTGCCGGATCCGTGATCTGTCGGGCTGAGCCCCTAACCCGGCCAAGACACGATTTGTGTCCACTCAGTGTCCCCAGATATGCGCTTTGTTCTGGGGCTGGGAGGTTCGCAGTAGGAGACTCCGTCCTTCGCCTCCTTCGTTTATCTCCTGTTCCCTTCCAGCTCCAGCTGGTGCGGCCAGTTTCTTCGAGGAAGTCCCTCTGACCACCCGGGAGGCGTCCCCAAACACTAAGAGCTGTGAATGGAGCCGGCGGTGAACCTGGTGGACGTCAGGGGTGGGGGCGGGGCCCCTGTGAGAAGTGGCTCTGTCCTGAGGGACGGATAGATTGAGAATGGATGGAGGAGAGTTCTTCAAGAGAAACTTCCTGCCTCAGCCTGGCTCCGCCTCCTTACCGGGTTCGAGGACTCGCCTTGATGGCGAGAAGCCAGCATCATCTTCAACGCCCTTGGCCTGTTCACGTGGGACCTGCGGCTAGTGGCGCGCTTGGGGCTTTGTCTCTGACCCCACGACGCTTCCAGGGGACCCTTGGCTTTGCAGGCGAAGGCTGCCGGCTCGTCTGTGTTGCCCTTTCCTCAAGGCCTAGGCCGATGCCAGTCTCCAGCCAGGGGGCGCTGAAGCTCAGAGGACTCCAGCACTGCTGGCCTGAACTGACCTCGATGTCCTGTGTTTTGTGCATGAGGAGGCGCAGATATTTTTCCAAGGACCAGGACGTGTCCGCCGGATGTAAGGAAATTTCAATGGGATGCATTCCCTTAAGATATTCCAGTGGCCTCGTCTTGCACCAACCGACTTGGGTCCTGGGCCCATACCATGGATCACTGACTCCATGTACCATGAACGAGTTTCTACTTCTCTGGTTACCAGAACTGATAAACTTTCTTTTAAGGTTTCTATTTATTTATTTTTAGAGAGAGGGGAAGGGACGGAGAAAGAGAGGGAGAGAAACATCAATGCATGGTTGTCTCTCACATGCCCCATACTGAGAACCTGGCCCACAACCTAGGCATGTGAACTGACTGGGAATCAAACCGGCGACCCTTTGGTTCTCAGCTCGGTGCTCAATCCACTGAGCTACACCAGCCAAGGCTGATTTACACTTTCATTGTCCAGTTTGAGATTTTATGAATCTGTGACTCTTGGATCTCCCCACTGGGGAGGCCTCATCCCCTAAGGGATTTGGCAGTGCAAGGGCCCAAAGTCCTCAGCTGACTGTAGTAATTCAGATTCTGTTACTCACGTGACTTTTGTATTTGTGATATCCCTATGTAATTTGCTATTCTGTCTTATGGTGGTAATTTATTGTCATTATTAAATAGTCTCATATTTACATTGGTTGTTCCCTTGTGATCATTCTGAGGGGCACTTTTCAGTTAAAAATGCTGAACCAGGGAAATCAAGTGACTTCAATTTCAATTCTGACCCTGCCCCTTGATTATTTTGTAACGGAGCAAATTACTTCTCTCTGAGCCTCAGCTTCCTCGTCCATGCAATGCCATTCTTATCCTTTTCTTGCAAATGAGTAATGTACATTGAAAGTGTTTCTAAAGCTTCCAGCTGAGGCCATAGGATGGTCTTCGTTAATGGTCTCTATTAAATAACCACACACGTAAATACACAGGCAATTGCACTTTTTATGTGTCCAAGCCTGGGGGCGGGCAATCTTTACCGCTAACTGCAGGCCTCTTTGTCAAAGTCACCCAGCTGTGAGGATCAGAGCCAGGTTTGAATCTCAGACCCTTTAGTTCCATAGCCCACACTCTTAATCACCTCTTGAACTTCGTTCTAAGAAAAACATGTATGAAGTTTAGGAATTTTGAGATGCTTTGTCCTTTTCCAGAATTCTGTTAATGCAATGTCTCCTCCCTTGGGTTAAGGTCGCTGCATTTGACAGACACTGACCAGTGCCCTGGGGGGTGACTTGGGGCCATCCCTATTCTTGGCTTTTAACATTTTTGGGTATCGGGCTCGATTTTTCCAACTGAGGATTCTGTCCAACTCTCCCTGTAATTTTGAATAATGAAAAAAGGGTTTGGAGTGGGAGTCAATTGTCAAAAAGCACTGGGCACCCCTGTGTTCACATTCGTTTTCCCTGTGTTGGGGGGTCTGGCTGCACAGTAGCTGGGGAGTGCAGTGATTACAGTCAGGTGTCCGCAAGACTTGCTGATACTCCTGCCTCACCACTGATTTCTTTTATGACCTTGGGCAGGTCCCTTAACATTTCTAACTTCCTGCATTTTACTGAGTATTTACTTATTTTTATGTATTTCAATATTATTTCAAGACACTTTATATTTAGAACAGGTCACCACACTAAGCTTCTGTCCCTTCTCATAACGTTACTCCATATTTAAAATGTGGGGAATGTTCAGTATGTCCTTGGTGTTATCGTGGATTTACTACTGTAGGTGGGAAAGCCTTTGTGAAGTAGGGACATATAAAGTACTCGACAAAGTGGGGGCCTCTCTGTTGTGCTTTTGCTCCGACTGCCCCCCCCAATCTTCACATAGCTTCCCTCGCTACTTTAAATTAAGTCTTTGCTCAAATGTGATTTTTCAGGCCACCTCATTCAGTGCAACCCCCTCCTACACTCTGCATCCCTGGGCTTCAGTTCCTTCATTTTCCCTTCTCTGATGTATTGTACACCCTGTGCTTAGCCCCTCCCCCTACTCTCTGTTACTTCTATCTAGTAAAAGTTCCTCAAGAAATGTTTTATACATTCTTTTTCAATGCCTGGAAACTTGAGCTATGCCTGATACAAAGTGGGGGCCACCTAATGCTTGGTGAATGAATGAGAGCATTTCTCACACACTGGCCTGGTTCCCTGAAGTCCTTGGCCACACCGCAATTCCCTAGCAGAGCCTTCCATTCCCGTGTCCCTCAGTGACTGGACAGTTAAGATGTTAGTGAGGCACCCCTCCTCCCTATTCTTTCTCTCTCTCGGTACCGAGTGTGGAAGGGATAGAACAGCTGGTCTCCTCTCTGAACTCTGGGCTGCTTTGCCTTTCTGACTCCTTCCCACCTCACCAGCAGCCTTCTCCCTTTCTCTTCTCCCCTCCTCTGAGTAACCTCTCTCTTGGAAGTTCAAGGGTCTTGATGGCAACACCCTTAGAGGTGCCTTTCTCCTCCTCTCCCTGGACTGCAGTATCCTGCACAAAGACAAGTCCCTTTGTCCCCTCCCCGTCAGGGTGCTGTGACCCCCTTTGTGGGGCTGAGGCTGCCCCTACCCTGAGACTCATCTTAGGAATACACCTCCTCTATGTGAACCTGAATCTGTGTCAGTTTCTCTTTCCCTCCAGCTGCTCACCTGGCTCAAGGCCCCCGCCCTGCATGGGCTTCCCCCAGCCTGGGGCCTCCCTAGTGGCCATTGTGTTTTCACTTTTCCTACATCAGCTGGGATTGCCCATCTGTCCAGGCTAAAAGCTGTACCATGGAGCTCAGGCAGGTGTTCCATCAGAGCAGAGCTGGAAGTTCAGAGACACACACAGAGCAGCAGACTGAGAGCCAGAAGAGGAGACTGAGGTCACAGACACAAAACAAGGCTGAGTGAGAGACCCTGGTGACAGCCTCTCAGTGGACGCTTGGGTCCCCCTGTGCTGACAGAGACCAGAGACAGAGATGAGGATGCAGCTGGGTGAGGCCCCACCTCATGGCCCATGACCCCCACCTCCCCACAGCCTCCACCCTCAGCCCCTGACACTGTCTGTGCCCTCATGTGTCTCTCCTTCTGTAACACAGACTTGCCTGTGGGTTGCATGCTGGTGCTGATGCTGATGACCATGGAGCTGACCAGGATGGGAGCAGTTCCTGTGCCCACGCCCCTCGGTGCCCTCCCGGGTGCAAGGGGCTGCTCCATGGCCCAGTTCAAGTCTCTGCCCCCACAAGAAATGAAGGCCTTCAGGAGGGCCAAGGATGCCTTGGTGAGTCTCCCCACTGCCCCACCTGCTGTGGGCCAACCTCCACCCTCCCTCTGTGGGTTACCATGCTCCATTTGGCTCACGGTGGACCTGTACCCTCCCCTAGCTGGGCTACCGTGCACTTCTCACAGTGGGCTGACTCCTGCTGCTGCTGCATTGGGCTGACTCGTGTTCTTCTGCAGGGGAGATGCCTCCACCTGCTTTTGGAAGTTAACCGCCCTCCTTATGTCATTGGTCTCCCCCCAGTCCCATTGCAGGGGTCTAACCTCAGCCCTCCAGCTGTGTGCTGACCCCTGCCCTTTTTCTTCAGGAGGAGTCCCTGCTGCTGAAGAACTGGAGCTGCAGCTCCCGCCCATTCCCCAGGACCTGGGACCTGAGGCAGCTGCACGTGAGTTGGGAGAGTCAGGCTTGGCCCTGCCCTCACCTGGCCCTGCTCCTCTGCCTGCTTAAGTAGCCTCTTCATCTTCTCCTCACTCTCCGGTCTTTTTGCTCTCCTTGACTTCTTCTCCTCACCTGCCACATTGGCTGTGTCCTCTCACCTGTCCTGACCTTATACCTTTACTGTTCCTTCCTCAGCCCTCCTCACCTGTTTCTGTCTCACATGTAGCTCTCACCTGTTTCCCCTCGTCAGGTGTGGGAGCGTCCCGTGGCCTTGGAGTCTGAGCTGGCCCTGACACTGAAGGTCCTGGATACTGTGGCTAACTCTACCCTGGGGGACATCCTGGACCAGCCCCTTCACACGCTTCACTACATCCACACCAAGCTTCAGGCCTGTGTGAGTGCTCTGGGCTCCTGGGCCATGTCTGTGGGCTCTGACTCTCCCCTACATAGGTCCATCCGTGTCCCAGGCCCTGCCTCACATAGCACCCTCCTCTGCCCACAGGTCCCAGCTCAGGCCACAGCAGGCTCCAGGCCCCAGGGCCACCTCCACCGCTGGCTGCGACGCCTCCAGGAGGCTTCAGAAAAGGCGAGTGACCAGGGAGTGACCCGTATCTGGGGACAACTGGGACCCAGATCATGGGTAGTCACTGACGTGTCCTGTCTTCCCCACAGGAGTCCACTGGCTGCCTTGAAGCCTCTGTCACATTCAACCTCTTCCGCCTCCTCACCCATGACCTGAAATGTGTCGCCAGTGGAGACCTGTGTGTCTGACCCCGAGGCCCATCTGCAACCTGTGCCATCACCTTAGATTTTATTTATGCCTCACTCGCATTTCTTAATTTATTGCCACTCATCCACTATTTATGTATTTATCTGTGTGAATTTTCAAACTCACACCCAATAAAGTGTTTATTTTTTTACTTTTTGTCAAAACTGTGCAAACAGTGAAGAAAAGATGCTGTTTGGGCTGTGGGATGTGTGTGTTTTTGGGATTCCGCTTCCAGGGCTGGTTTGAGAGAGACCTGACCTCTGTGACCACTTTGGTGCTGACCCCGTGGACCACCAACCAGTCTTATTTCCCCTGAACGCCTCCTTTGACATTCCGTGAATCTCTGACTCTTGGATCTCCCCACCTGAGTAGGTCCCATTTCTGAGGGATTTGGAGAGCACCAGTGTCAAAGTTCTCAGTTGCAGTCCTGCGCCACTTACCACCAGGGGTCGTTCTGAGAAATGCATCCTTAGGGGAATCTGTCGTTGTGCGGACGTCACAGAGTGCCCTTACACTGACCGCGATGGTCCCACCACTGCACACCTTGGCTGTGTGGTGTAGCCTGTCGCTCCTGGACCACACACCTGTGCTGCAGGTTGAACTGTATTCAACACTGTAGGCAGTTATAACACAATGAAAAGTATTTGTGTATCTAAACATATCTACGCACACAAAAGGCACAGTGAACATGTGGTATAAGAGATAAAAATGTCACACCTGCATAGGGCACTCACGTGTGAGGAGCTTGTGGAACCAGGAGTTGCTCTGGGTGATCAGTGAGTGAGTGGTGAGTGAACGTGAAGACCTAGGACGCTCTGTCCACTGCTACGGACTGCATAAACTCTGTACATTTAGGGTTCCTAATGTACAGAACAACACAATACTGCATCAAGCACAAGAGAAAATAGTGCAAAGATGCAGTAAACACAAGGTGTATAGACTGCTGCCAGCCTAACACACTGTCCTACAGCAAACTCTTTTATATAAATAGAAAGAGCGCACTCTAAAATAATGATGAAATGTATAGTAAATACATAAAACAGTAACACAGCCCTCTATTATGAAGTATTGTGTAGTGTACACTACCGGATGTGCTCTACTTGCATGTGACTGGCTGCACGTCAGGGTGTTTACAGAAGTATCACCACAAACACATGGGCAATGTATGGACCTAGGGGGTCACAACAGCTACAGTGTCACTAGGCAATAGCAACTGTCCAGCTCCATTATGATCTAATGGGACCACCAGCACATACGTGGTCCATCATTGACTGAAAGACTGTCATGCCACTCATGACCGCATTGTGATTATTTGGGATCCTGTTACTAATGTGTCCTTACAGTTGTAAGACCTGTGTGCTTGTGGTATTCCTCTGTTTCTCCTGGTGTTCATTCATTTTCATTTCTGTAATGGTGTGGCAGCTGGCAATGCAAGCACTCATTCTGAGGTAGTGTAAAGTGATGGAGGTCCGACTTTGAAGTCAGAGCTAAATTTGATGGGACATTTCTCTGCCCATTGACTTTTAGTGGTATACTTGCCTTTTTCTAAACTTTAGTTTTCTCCATTTGCAAATAACTTATTGCCAGTGCCCTTTGAAAAGTTTGTTTATTCATCCATCCATCCACGTGACAATTCATTCTCCATGGATGGTGTTGTTAGCTGCAATGGCACCAGAATATCTCTGGCATCTAGAGTGCCCTCAGTTCAGCAACCTCAGCATTTGAGTTCTGGCTAAGAAAGGAATCACAGGTAAGACTCAAATACAAACAAAAGTTTATTTACAAAATCACAGAGGTAGAAGGGGTGAGCTGTGGAAGAAGTGAGCCAGCTGGGCTGTGTGGGCTCAGGAAACAAGTTACAGAGACAAAAAAGGGCCCTTGGACCTTAGGCTTAAAAAAAGGCAGAGAGAACGCCCCTCTGGAAAAAGAAGAGGAACGATGCAGGCATGTTCAAGAGACAGAAGGACCCTGCACTGGGTCCTTCCTCTTGAGGGTTTTATCTGGAGGTCTCAGTGGGAAACCTCCATAGAATATTCACTAGTTTTCCAGGTATGTCCGTTCGAGTCTGTGGTCTCCACCAATTGGTTGGCACCAAGGCATGAGGTCAGTCATTGGTCGTTGAAGCTGTTCCTGATGTCATCTATGAGGTTACCCAGCCCAGCCGCTCTTCTTGGCCTAGAGTTGAAACACAACAGAGGCCTAGATGTTATCTCCAGGGCTTAAAGCTTAAGGGAGTGGTCACGCAGGGGTTTGTATGGGAATTATATCAGGCTATTCTCCGGCCCCCTTGTTCTTTTTCTGGGGGGGTCTACCACATAACTAACAATATCTCAAGAGAGGACATGTCAGGGGAGGGTCCAAACTGCATGACCAACAATATGAAAAACCAGGGGGTTTAGATACATGATCAAGAATATGCTAGAGGAGGAAAGATCATCCCTGGGAGTGAGGTATAGCCCAGCCTTGCCCGTTGCTAAGTACTCAGGGCTCTGCACTCTGGTAAAACACCATACCTTGCTTATCATTCCTATTCTACTCCTATCTGTCAAACTGATATATATATATTTGCCATATAAAGGGGGAAATTAAATATGTGTCCATAGGTAGTTCTTTTGTTTCCTGGGTTCCAAAGGCGTGGGAGCAGTAGAGTAAAAATGGCCATGTAGGATCCTTGGTGGGTGGGGACTAGAGGATAGTTTGGGGATAGTTAGAGGATGGTTTGGGGAACCTGTGAGCTGGGCTGTGTGTCTGAAATGGCCAAGTGGGGGTGGGAGCATGGTCGTCTCAGGGAAATCATGGCAGCTGGCCTTCCCCAGACTGAGAGTCTCAAGAGAACCAAGCAGAAGCTGCCTCAACCTTTCTGACTCAGATTCAGAGATCAGGCAGCAGCTAGAGTTACACACGGCCCACTAAGGCCAGCCCAGATTCAAGGGAAGGGGACAGACCCACTTCTCGGTGGGGAAAGTGTCAGACTTTGAAAACTTATCTTCAAATTACAGTGTACCCTCTGGCCACACAACATTCACATTTCTTTCACATGCAGAATTCACTCATCTTTTCCCTTAATCTCAAAAGTCTCATCTATTCTGCACCAGGCTCACTGTCAAGGTTCTGGACCACATCACCTAAATCAGATCCTTGTGTTGAGGAGGCCTCACCATTGAGGGGAGATACAGGAACTCTCTGGCACTTCTGGAGAGAGGGAAGCAGGTGCCACCGTGTGGGAGAGCAATGGATGAGGACTCAGACCTGCACTGCCCTTTCCTGTAGCCGCCGCCCCACACATAGCCATCCACTTAAGAGAAAATGAAAGAAACTGAACATTCAGTTCCTCCATTGCACTACCAAATTGTAAGCACTCAACGACCACACATGGTGGGTGGCTACTGCACTGGACAGCGCAAATGTAGAACATTTTCATCATCACAGGAGGTTCTGAGGAACAGCACAGACTAGACAATACAAGTGCAGGTTTGCCCTGTGGCCCAGAAATCCTATTCCTGAATATATCTAAGATATATACATATATGTCTTAGTTTGGGGTCTCCCAAAAGCATGCCCTGATCCAAGGGTACAAGTGGTTTATTTGGGAGATGACCCCAGGAAGCAGAAGTGAGTGGGGAAACTGGGAATGGAAGAGAAAAAAGCCAAAAAATAGTGCAGAGTCTGGACTAGAGGGAGACAGGTGAGGTACCTAGGGCACTGGCCTGAACCTGAAAGTGAGGGCCTCCTCAAGTTTTGAACCCAGACACCTCGGCTTTTTCACCTTACTATGACTCAGGTTCAAAGGTCAGGCAGCACCTAGAGTTAACCTTAGTGGCTCATGTGTAACTTAGTGGCCCCTGCCTCCAAAGGTTACTGTTGTGAGCAACTAGATCGAGTCATTCAAACCTGGGCTCTCCAAGGACTTGAGGAATCATGGAGAACACATCTCAGAGTTGACCCACTGAGGAAAAGGGGAGCAGAGTTTGTTTCCTGGCTCCCTACCCACATCGGATGTGAATTGCCTCTGAGGAATTAATCCTGGCGCTTTCGACATGTTCTGCATGCACACAGGAGAAAGAACTCGAAGGAGAAGCAGAACAACAACAGAACACGAGGAGGGAAGCCTTATTCTAACGGAGAGCTGAAGGCAACCGAAATGTGTCTCACTGGGGGACCAGCTAAGAACAGATCAGTAAGAGTGCTCTGGACACACTGTGGAATACAATGCAATAATTGGAAGCAGCGAACTTGGTGCATACAGCTATACATCATCTCAGAAAGGTACTGCTATGTTTTTCTTTTTTAAGAAAGAAATAGAATGAAATTTATAACACAATCCCATTTATGTAAATTGGAAACACATACATGCACAAAATTGCAAATTATAAAAATATACCTTTGCAGCTATATATCAAGTGCATTAAAGTGGGTGCCTGTAAGGGGAAAGGGTGGGAGTGGGGATTGGGCATGGGGGGTGGGTAAAAACCTAGAGGGTCCCTCATGGGCCTGTTGTGATTCTGTTATATCTGAAGAGTATGAGTAATACTTTTCTGCACCTAAGAGCCAAGAAAGAAATAAAATAATGAAACATAAGAAATGCCCACATAAGAAGAGCAATTCCCTACCTGCTACACAAATATTATTACCACGGCGGGGCGGAGGAGAGGGGCTGGAGGGGAGGGGAACAGGGGCTGATGGCAAAGCAGCCATACTCTGCCTGCCTTCTGCAAGCCTTCCTCAGGGTCTTCGCTCCAGCCAACCCCTCCCATCCCCAGCAAGCACTCTTAACCCCATGAATGAGGAGCTCCCTACACTGTCATGCTACCCAGAGGGAAGGAAAAGAGAGTTAGCTGTCTGTGACTCACAGGGTTCCCCTGCTTCTACTTTGACCATATACAGTATAGGGGGTATGCACATGGGACTCTGTTCAAAGCCCAGCTCTGCCATGAACCAGCTGGGGGACCTCAGGCAACTCACTTTGCCTTCCTGTTCCTCAGTTTCCTCACAGGTAAAATGC